GCACCCCCAGAGTCAGCACCCCCAGGCTCAGCACCCGCAGCAGTACCAGAGTCACCAGCAACCTCGACCGGCTCGACTGCGTCTACCTGGGACACACCTGAAGGGGCAAGACCCTGAGGGGGGAGGGGGTCTACTGGGGGGGGACCAGGCACAAGGAAGAGGGGTGGTGGGGGGAGGGACGGAGTACGCTAGGGGAAGAGACGGTAGTAGGGGACCGACTCGTCAAACGTGATGTCCTAGGAGGATAGAACACGACGAGAGGAGGGGTGGTAGAACTGCCACCCTCATGCGTCAGGGGGGAAGCCAAGGACGACACAGGGAGCAGCACGAGGGGACAGCTTGTCCGTAGACAAGTCGCGGACAAACGCCCGAGATCCCTAGACACGGAACGCAGACGCATCGCCTACCTTCCCCGTCCACAGCAGAGCTTGGGAGGTCTCCGGCATGGAGACCCTGGGGTAAAGGTTGATCTGATGCGCCGCGTACCGAACCGCAAACAGCCACAGAAAATGGGGGGCAGCCGCATGCATCATGGACGTACGAGCGACGTCCATGACCATGCCAATGCGGCGCTCAGCAATCCCGTTTTGCTGTGGAGAGTCCGGAAACGTAAAGATCTGGCGGATGCCTCGCGCACGGCAGTAGGCTCGCAGAAGGCCAGAGGAGAATTCTCCGCCTCGGTCAGAGTGTAGACGCAGAACGGGAAAGTCCGAGCCGAAGCTCCTCCTGAGCTGGAGACGAGCTGCGCGGATCCAGTCGATCAACACCTCAGTGACATCACCCTTGCTGCGCAAGGGGAAGACTATGGTGTAACGCGAGTAGTCGTCAACCACCAGCAGGAAGTAGCGCTCGTGACCGTGTCCACGGACGCGGGCCGGGCCCCACACGTCCATGTGAAGCGTCTGCAGCAGGGCCTCTTTCGGGGGGAACTAAGAGGAGTGAGGGGCAGCCCGGAGCTGCCCCTCGACACAGGGGACACACGAAGGACCAGGCCCTGGAGGAAGGGGAGGGAGGGACCGGGGAAGACCAGAGACAAGGACACGGGAAGCCATGCCTCGGAGACAAGGCAAGGAGGGGTGACCAAGACGGTGGTGCCACAGGAGAGTCTCGTGAGACAGGAGGCGACACGAGCAGGGGGCAGACTCAGGACCAGACCTGGACGCTGCAGCAAACACCTGACCCGACGCAGCTACCTCGCCAAACGCAGGGACAGGAGGAGACTCAGTGGTCAGGGTGTAGAGGCTCGACCCCGGCCAATGCGTAAACGTGGCCAGGTGCCGGCCTGTGCGCGCGTCCGAGCAGTGGGTCACCCGCTGACTCGCAGGAGTAAACTGGTGAACCCCCGCATCCTGCAAGTCAGCACCACTCACCAAGTTCGTAGAGAACGAGGGGAGGTAAAGACCAGACAAGGTGCCAGAGGGGGCAGCCGGACACGGGAGGACAGTGGAGAAGTGAGAGAGGACACGACCCCCAGAGGGGTCTGCCAGGGAGACTGCAAACGGCCGACCAAGCGGCGTGAGTGTGGTGCGGTCTCGAAAGAAGGAGCGAGAAGCCCCTAAGTCAAGCGTGAAGGTGAGGGAGGCCAAAGCCGACGTGGTACCTGAGAGCACAGACTCACCAGCACCTGAGGGTGCAGACGCACTGGCACCTAGAGGAGGAGCCTCACCAGCACCTAGAGCAGCAGTACCAATTCCCGGGTCGGGTGGGAAACACCGATAACAGTCACCCTCATCACTAATAGTCACAGCATACATGGCAGCAAGGATAGCATCAAAGTCAAGATCATAGATAGCTACACCTGCCCTAGACAGCTCTCCCCAGCGCGGGATCTCGCTAGCATCCGGGAACTGCTGACGCCAAGCGTCCGTCAGGCGGCCAAAGCAGCGCTGGGTGGGGTGGGCACCCCCACACTGCTCACCGGCGCGGTCGCCGGAGCGAAGGACGTAGGTGCACGTACCAAAACCCCCACCACGCTGACGCTGGGCGTACCACTTACGGAGCTGCTGAGGGGGGGGGATGTCGCGAGAACGCTGCTGCTGCTGGTGCTGGCGCTGACCACCACCGGAGCCGCTCCGCTGCGAAGCGCCACCCCGACCAGCTCCACCTCCTCCACCACCGCCTCCTCCACCTCCGCCACCACCGCCGCCTCCGCTCCCACCGCTACTGCCTCCGCCGCCTCTGCCTCCACCGCTGCCGCCGTCACCTCCACCCCCGCCACCACTCCCACCGCCACCCCCACTCCCTCCGCCGCCTCCACCGCCACCTCCACCACCCCCGCTAGCTCCACCCGCGCCCTTGCCCCCCTTGCCCTTGCCAGAGCGGCGTCTCCCGCTAGGGGCAGACGCCGCACCGACCGACTCAAGACCAACGAGGTCGGCCGCAGCAGCAGAGGCGACATAGGGCAAAAGGGGGAAAGGGGAACAGCCCTCAAAGATGGGGGTGCGAGGGTCACCACGAGAGGCTCCTACAGCAACTATGCTCTTCTCCGCTGCTAGGAGGGCCTTCTCTAGGAGGTCAACAGTGAGAGTGGTGGGACAGACTGAGAGGAAGTGGTCCCTGACTACACGAAGGGAGTCAAGGAGGCGGGTGACTATATAATAGAGAGTGATGTACATGGGGGGGGGGGTTATTGGCGCAGAACTCAGCAGGAAGCGCGGCGCGGTAGCGAGTGTCACTAGTGCGAAGGTGCGTAATGAGGTCAGCGACTGTGGGAAAGGCAGCGAGGTCAGCGAAGAGGTACGGTAGCATGAGGCGGCTCAGTGCAGCAGTGGCAGGGGAAGAGTAGCGCGCAACTACAGCGTCGTACAAGGTCTGAGCACTCTTGTACTGACTAAAGTGCGCGCGCTCAGTGGTAGGCAGGTGGCAACGCACAGCAAGACGTGCAGCAGCATCGCGCGTGGCCCAATGGGAGAGAACTGTGGGGTCAGCATCAGCAGCAGGGGCAGGAGAGGCGCCATAGGTGAGGTCAAAGAGAGAGAGACTGTCTGCCCTATCGCACTGTAAGAACAGCTGCAGGTCGTCGACCCAGACCTCAAAGTCAATGGCTCGACCCTCAGCGTCAAAAGCGAGGACACTAGGGGTAGCCATGACAGTAGTAGACTAGCAGTGCAAGCAGTAGGGAAAGGGCAGTGCAGTGACAGAGGCGGTGTGCTCACCGAACAGGGCTGCTCGGCGGCTCGGCGGTAGGGCGGCTCGCCGGCTCGGCTGCTGGGCGGCTTGGCGGCTCGGCGGCTCGGTTGTCGGGCGGCTCGGCGGCTCGGCGGCTCGGCTGCTATGGTGTTGGGCGGCTCGGTTGTGTTGCTTCAGGGCGGCGCGGCGGTCGGCGGCTCGGCTGGGTGAGGCGGCTCGGGCGGCGGGCGGCGCTGCAGTAGTTGAAGGCGGCGGGGCCGCAACTGAGGGCGGCGGGGCCGCAAGTGAGGGCGGCGGGCCACAGGTGAGGGCGGCGGAGCCGCAAGTGAGGGCGGCGGGGCCGCAGGTGAGGGCGGCGTAAGGGCCGCAGATGAGAGCTGCGTCGGGGCCGCAGGTGAGGGCGGCGACGGGCCGCAGGCGAGGACGGCGACGAGGCCGCAGCTGAGGGCGGCGATGGGCCGTAGGTGAGGGTGGCGGCTGGGCCGCAGGTGAGGGCGGCGACGGGGCCGCAGCTGAGGGCGGCGACGAGGCCGCACGTGAGGGCGGCGACGGGCCGCACGTGAGGGCGGCGACAGGGCCGCATTTGAGGACGACGACGGGGCCGTAGGTGAGGGCGGCGGGGCCGCAACAGAAGGCGGCGGGGCCGCAACAGAAGGCGGCGGGGCCGCAAGTGAGGGCGGCGGGGCCGCAAGGGAGGGCGGCGACGGGCCGCAGGTGAGGGCGGCGGGGCCGCAAGTGAGGGCGGCGGGCCGCAAGGGAGGCCGCTTGGGCGGCTCGACGAGTGTAGAGAGGGGAGCGCGACTCGGGGAGCGCGCTCCAGGCAGGAAAAAAAAAATGTTCGATGTGGTGGGCCCTAGGCACAGTTCCCACGAGGGAACCTGCTCTGATACCATGAGAAACTTAGAACGAGAATGAAAATGACTAAGTGAAAGTTGGGTACAAATACAAACCCTAGAAAAGCTGTACCCCATATGTGCTACCCCACTATAGCCTACAAAAGCTATGTCATATAAATCTGACAGGCTCATCTCTTGAAACTCTTAGAAGCAGGAACTCATCGCGATTTCTCCAGCGGAAGCTGAGTTCATCACCGCCAGCGCAGCTGTTCGCGAAGGACTGTACCCGAAGGAGCTCCTGCAAGAAGCGAAAGTGACGATGATCGGGCACTTCACGTTACTCTGCGACAACCAAAGCGCGATCAAGATTGCGAACAAGCCCGGCTTCATGAACCGCACGAAACACATTGCACTCCGTTACTTCTTCGTCAAGGACAAAATCGACAAAGGGAAGGTCAAACTCACATTCTGCCCAACTGGTGACATGGCAGTAGGTTTCATGACCAAGATGCTACCACGTCAGAAATTCCAGCACTGCACCGACCTCTGCGGGATCTCGAAGAAATCCCACATGGCTCACCTTCAGAAATGAAAAGGAGTGTTCGAATAACTGAAAGGTTATCATAAACATTCCTGAAGGATTTCCACTCCCACGTCACTCCATAACGAAGCCATGCACCTGCATCAGTATCGCAATAGCTCATATAGAGCATGCGGAAGGTCGAGGGTCACCCGAAGGTCAACAGTCGAAGACAGTCAACGGTCATGACCCTTGACTGCCCAGTAACCGCACTTGGTAGTTACGCGACACAACATGGTAATTGTCAAGAACAGCAATAGTCGTGGTTACTATAGCAATGCAATACAGTTCATAAGGGAATGTACCCCTCAGAGTACATGGCCAGCTAGAATTGCTATTTATTCCTTGTACCACTATCATTTAATCATCTTGTTCCCTTTCAACTTATTAACAAGGTAATTATTGTCAAACTATATATGTGCTACTTCTGTGTAGGCTATAGTGGGGTAGCTTATATGGGGTACAACCCAATGTAAGGGTTAGTACTTGTACCCAGAATCCTTTCAATGCAATCATTCTAACTTCTATTCTTCACATGGTATTAAGAGCAGTAGGTCCGTAGGACCGTTAATTGGTGTTGAATTGGTGCTGAGTATTGAAAGTAGTTCTGAATACTCAGTGCTAAGTGCTGAGTAATTCTAGAAACTTAGCACCAATACTTTCAATACTCCATGCTGCACCGCATCACTCAGCGCTGCACCGCATCACTTAGCGCTGCATCGCATCACTCAGCGCTGCACCGCATCACTCAGCGCTGCACCGCATCACTCAGCGCTACACCGCATCACTCAGCGCTGCACCGCATCACTCAGCGCTGCACCGCATCACTCAGCGCTGCGCCGCATCACTCAGCACTTCGCCGCATCACTCAGCGCTGCACCGCATCACTCAGCGCTGCGCCGCATCACTCAGCGTTGTGCCGCATCACTCAGCGCTGCGCTGCATCACTCAGCGCTGCACCGCATCACTCAGCGCTGCACCGCATCACTCAGCACTGCACCCCATCACTCAGCGCTGCACCGCATCACCCTGCGCCATCAGCCTCTCTTGCATCCCCCATCCGTGCTCCCCCACGCATCGCCGCACACCAGGGTGGATCAGTGCAGACTACTCAGCGTTGGAGGGCATCAACCTGGGGCACGCGCGGCGCTACTCGCTGCAGCAGCTGCACGACGCCACCCACGGCTTTTATGACCAGCTCGTGCTGGGACAGGGCGGATTCGGCAAGGTATGGCTAGGGCAGGGCGGATTCGGCAAGGTATGGCTGGGGCAGGGCGGATTCGGCAAGGTATGGCTGGGGTAGGGTGGATTCGGCAAGGTATGGCTGGGAGAGGGTGGGTATGGCAAGGTGCGAGTGGGGCAGGGCGGATTGGGGAAGATATATGAGTGTCTTTGGGGAGGGTGGGAGTGGCAGGGTACAATCTGCAGTGCAGAGACCCTTTCTTGGCATGACCTTGAGCAGGTGATGCCACCAGCAGTGCTAGCATGAGGAGTGGCCACGTGCCCTTGTTCCCAGGTGCACCAACGCCGCTGCACAAACCCAAGTGCAGCAGGGCATGCTGGTAGCGCTGGTAAGGACTCAACACAGCATCACGCTCCCCTGAGCGCCACACCCTGCCTGCACCACTACATCCTCTCAGCCTTCCCGCTGGCAGTCATTTAGGCGGCACAACGGCACGGCGTCCTTCCCCCACCCCTCCCCTTCCCTCTTTCTCCCCTCTATCATGTGACCTCTTCCGCATGTTCCGTGGCACCTTTCACCCATTCTCCCCCTTGTTTCCCCCCATGCATGGCAGGCGTACGAGGGCGATGCCGATAAGCAATGCAACACAGCGGCCCCAACCCCTTCCCGGTCCCCCTGTCTTTCCCAACCCCCCAGTCCCTCCCTCCCTGCGAACCAGGTGTACCTGGGGGTGCTGAGTGGTCAGATGGTGAAGCAGGCATAGTGGAGGCAGGCACCCACCCCCTCCGCTTCCCCCTTCCCCCCCGTTGTCCCCCTTAGGTGTACAGAGGGGAGCTGAACGGTGAAGGGGTGGTGATAAAGAAGGCGACGGAGAAGCACCGGCATGACGGGGCGGACTTCAAGAACAAGATCGAGCTGCTCACCGCCATGTCTCACAGCAACCTCGTGCGCCTCACAGGCTTCTGTGTCGAGAAGGACGAGCAACTGCTCGTGTTTGAGTTCATGGAGGGGGGGGTGCTGGACGCGTGGATCAAAGGTGGGTTGATATTAGACATAGTACGGTTGTGCGTGGTTGTGTGTGGTTGGATGTGTGGATCAAGGGTGTGCTTCTCTGTGGAGAATGGAGAGCAGGGTGATGGATGCGTGGATCAAAGGTGTGATTGCCCTCACATTGCTATTTTCTGGGTGTAGAAAGTGGTTTTCAAAGACGTCTCAAAAATACATTTTCTACACGTTTGCTGGGGATGCTCGTGTTCGAGTCCAAGAGGGAGGCTACTGGACGGTCTGGGCACGTTCAAGGGTGTGCTTGCCAGCAAATTGAATGCGAACTAGGAATCTAAAAGGCACTGGAGATGCTAATTTAGCACGTACTCTTGAGCATCTAAGCTCTTGCTCTGTACACACAACCAAATTGGGCCCCAACCCCACCCCCAAAACCCCACCCCCCCAACGACCCCCCCAACCCCACCCCCTCAACCCCATCCCCCCAACCACCCCCCTTGCATGCGCCATCCCATGTTGGTACCTTCTTTATCGTCGGCTCTCTTGCAACGTCCATTTTCTTTCTGTCTCATCCAAACCCATACCACCTGCTCGCCCTGCTGACGTGGCGGCAGGCAAGATGGGTCGCATGCTGATGTGTCGGGAGCGGATGCGCATTGCGCTGAACGCAGCGAGTGCGCTGCACTACCTGCACCGCGAGATGCGGCCTGCCATTGTGCACCACGACATCAAGGTTGGTCGCAACGTGCCTTAGTCTTCATAACATAGATGAAGTGTGCCTATGTTTGCTCCTGCACCGCGACATCGAGGTGGGTCATGCCATGCCTTAATCTTCATACCATGAATGAAGTATGGCGACGTTTCTAATCTCATTCATCCTACCCATACCGGAATGATTTCATATGAGGCTCACTCATTGTTAATCCTCCCTCACCGCTTTTTCCGCGCTCTTTCTCCCCCTTCTGCTGCGGCATGGCAGCTGCCGAACATCCTACTGACAGCAGTGCCGGAGGCGAAGATGGCGGACTTCGGCAAGTCCAAGTCCATGCCGGAGCGCGGAGAGCTCATGCCCGATGAGATCGTGGGCAGCAAGGTGAGATGCCATGCGGTGCTGTGCGGTGAGGTCAGGGGCAGCCGGGTGAGATGCCTTGTGGTGCAGTGCGGTCAGGGCATGCGTAGCTGGGTGAGATGCAGTGTGGTCTTACATTCAGTTGAACTGAGATGGCCCACATCCTCACTCCCATCCCTCCATCCTACTTCACCCATTTCTCCCTCTCCCCCGCCCCCATTTCCCCAGGGCTACATCGACCCCTACTTCGTGCATTCAGGCGTGCTGATGGAGAGCAGTGACGTGTACAGCTTCGGGGTGGTGCTGCTTCAGCTGGCCACAGGGCAGCTGCCACGCATCCAGCACGTGCCCCTCAGCCAGGTCGTGCTGCACCTCATCTTCGGCCCGCAGGGCCTTGCCTCCATCATCGACCCACACCTCCATGATGCCCTGCTCGCCATAGCCGCCGCCGCCGCCGGTGATGGCGCCGATGCTGCTGCTGCTGAGGGTGTAGTTGCAGGCGGTGCGGGGGAGTGGGAGGAAGGGGCAGTGAGCGCAGGGGAGATGGTAGCCGGGCTGGAGGAGACGTTCAGCACGTTCCTGCGCATCGCGCTGTGGTGCACCACGGAGCACCCCACGCTGCGCCCCCACATGGAGCAGGTCGTGTCGATGATGCGTGTCAAACTTATATCATATAGCTTGTCTAGGCTATAGTGGGGTAGACACTATGGGGTACATTTTCCTAGGGTTTCCTACTTGTACCCAACCTTGCGCTAGTTCATTCATTCCTCGTTTCTTCACATGGTATAGAGCAAGTTCCCTAGTGGGAAAGCTTCCTTGAGCCCACCACTGAAAATTTTCTCTGACCGGAGCGTCAGTCGCTCCTGCCCGAGGCGCGCCTTGTTTGCCGCCCTTCTAGGCCCCTCGCGGCCCCTAGCGGCATCGTCGCCGCCCCTACGCGGCCCCGTCGCCGCCCCTAACAGCCCCGTCGCTGCCCCTAGCGGCCCCGTTGCCGCCTCTCTCCCTACGCGGCCCTGTCGCCGCCCCTACGTGACCCCGTCACCGCCCCTACGCGGCCCCGTCGCCACCTCTACGCGGCCCTGTCGCCGCCCCTAGCGGCCCCGTCGCCGCCCCTAGCGGCCCCGTCGCCACTCCCCTTCCTACGCGGCCCCGTCGCCACTCCCCTTCCTACGCGGCCCCGTCGCCGCCACTACGCGGCCCCGTCGCCGCCCCTACGCGGCCCCGTCGCCGCCCCTAGCGGCCCCGTTGCCGCTCCCCTCCCTACGCGGCCCCGTAGCCGCCCCTAGCGGCCTCATCATCGCCCCTATGCGGCCCTATCGCCACCCCTAGCGACCTCGTCGCCGCCCCTAGCGGCCCCATTGCCGCTCCCCTTCCTACGCGGCCCCGTCGCCGCCACTACACGGCCCTGTCACCGCCTCTACGCGACCCCGTAGCCGCCCCTAGCGGCGCTATCGCCGCTCCCCTCCCTACGCCGCCCCGTCGCCACCCCTAGCGGCCCCATCGCCACCTCTGCCGGCCCCGTCGCCCCTCTACCGAGCAGCCCAGCAGCTGAGCCGCCCAACAGCAGAGCCGCCGAGCCGCCCAGCAGCCGAGCCACCGAGCTGCCGGGCCGCCCAGCAACCGAGCCCCCGAGCCGCCCAACAGCCGAGCTGCCCGACAGCCGAGCCGCCGAGCCGCCAAGCCGCCCAGCAGCCGATCCGCCGAGCCGCCCTGCCGTCGAGCCGCTACTGTTCCTACCGGCGCACCCCGGCCCTATTTACTTGGACTGGTGAGATCACTCCCTGCTACGCCACTACAGTCATGGCTACCCCCAGTGTTCTTACCTTTGATGCTGAGCGTCGTGCTGTTGACTTTGAAGTCTGGGTCGATGACCTCCAGCTATTCCTACACTGCGATAGGGCAGACGGACTCTCCTTGTTGGATCTCACCTCTAGTGCCTCCCTTGCCCCGCCTGCTACTGCTGACATCACTGTTCGCTCACAGTGGGCCACACGCGATACTGCTGCCCGTCTTGCTATGCGTCGCCACTTACCGACCACTGAGCGTGCGCACTTTTGCCAATACAAGAGTGCTAAGACCTTGTACAACGCTGTAGTTGCACGCTACTCTTCCCCTGCCACTGCTGCACTAAGCCACCTCATGCTACCGTACCTCTTCCTTCACCTTGCTGCCTTTCCCACAGTCACTGACCTCATTACGCACCTCCGCACAAGTGACACTCGCTATCGCGCTGCGCTTCCTGCTGAGTTCTATGCCAAGAACCCCCCCCCCATGTACATCACCCTCTACTACATAGTCATCCGGCTCCCTAACTCTCTCCGCGTAGTCAGGGACCACTTCCTCTCAGTTTGCCTCGCCACTCTCACCGTTGACCTCCTCGAAAAGGCCCTCCTAGCAAAAGAGAAGAGCATAGTCACTGTAGGAGCCTCTCGTGGTGACCCTCGCACCCCCGTCTTTGAGGGGTGTTCCCCTCCCCCCCTCTTGCCCTCTATTGCCTCTGCTTCTGCGGCCGACCTCGTTGGTTTCGAGTCGGTCGGCGCTGCGTCTGCCCCGAGCGGGAGACGCCGCACCGGCAAGGGCAAGGGGGGCAAGGGCACTGGAGGGGCTGGAGGGGGCGGTGGAGGTGGTGGTGGAGGCAGTGGAGGGAGTGGGGGTGGTGGTGGGAGTGGTGCCGGGGGTGGCGGCGGCGGCGACAGCAGTGGAGGAGGCGGAGGCGATGGAGGTGGCGGAGGGAGCGGAGGCAGAGGAGGTGGCGGAGGAGGCGGAGGTGGAAGAGGCGGCAGAGGCGGCGGGGGCGGCGGCGGCGGTGGTGGAACGGGTCGCGACTCTGCGCAGAGGAGTGGCTCAGGTGGTGGTCCGCGCCAGCAGCAGCGGAGTGGTGTGACCTTGTCCCCTCAGCAGCTTCGTGAGTGGTACACTGCGCGTCAGCGCGGTGGGGGTTTTGGTCCCTTCGCTTACGTCCTCCGTACCGGCGACCGAGCTGGTGAGCAGTGCGAAGGCCCGCACTCCACCCAGCGCTGCTTTGGTTGCCTGACGAACGCGTGGCGTCGCCAGTTCCCTGAGGCGTCAGAGATCCCTCGCTGGGGAGATCTATCTAAGGCCGGGGTTGCTATCTTTGATCTTGATTTTGATGCTATTCTTGCTGCCATGTATGCTGTTGATACTAGTGTTGCGGGTGACTGTTACCTATGTGTACCGCCTTACCCGGGCATTAAGGCCGCTGCTCTAGGTGCTGGTGAGGCTGCTGCTCTAGGTGCTAGTGCGTTTGCTGCCACAGGTGCCAGTGCGTCTGCTGCCCCAGGTGCTAGTGAGTCTGCTCTCTCAGGTACTACGTCGGCTCAGGCCTTCCACACCTTCACCCTTGACTCGGGTCCGTCCCGCTCCTTCTTTCGAGACCGCACCACTCTTACACCGCTCTATCAGCCGGTTGCAGTCTCCCTGGCAGACCCCTTTCAGGGTCCTGTCCTTGCTAGCTTCTCCATTGTCCTACCGTGCCCGACAGCCCCCTCTGGCAACCTGTCTGGTCTCTACCTCCCCTCGTTCTCTATGAACATGGTGAGTGGAGCGGACCTACAGGATAGGGGGGTTGACATGTTCACTCTTGCGAGTGAGCGAGTGACCCACTGCACGTGTGCTCGGACAGGCCGACACTTGGCCACGTTCACCCGTCGGCCAGGGTCGAGCCTGTACACCCTTACTGCTGAGTCTCCTCCGACTGCTGTCCCACCAGACTCTCCTTTTGCACCACCGCCTTGGTCACCCCTCCCTGCCTCGTCTCCGAGGCATGGCCTCCCGTGTCCTTGTCTCCGGTCTCCCTCGGTCTCTCCCTCCCCTTCCTCCGGGGCCTGGCCCTACCTGCGTCCCCTGCGTCGTGGGGCGACAGCGCGCCGCCCCTCACTCCTCCGAGTTTCCTCCGACAGAGGCTCCGCTGCAGACTCTCCACATGGACGTGTGGGGCCCAGCCCGCATCAGTGGGCAGAGGCGTGAGCAGTACTTCCTGCTGATGGTTGACGACTACTCGCGTTACACCACAGTCTTCCCCTTGCGCAGCAAGGGTGACGTCATTGAGGTGTTGATCGACTAGATCCGCGCAGCCCGACTCCAGCTGAGAGAGAGTTTCGGCTTGGACTTTCCTGTTCTGCGTCTGCACTCAGACAGAGGCAGAGAGTTTTCCTCTGCCCATCTGGGAGCCTTCTGTCATGCACAGGGCATCCGCCAGACCTTCACGCTTCCGGCCTCTCCACAGCAAAATGGGATTGCTGAGCGCCGCATTGGCATGGTCATAGACGTCGCTCGTACGTCCATGATGCATGCGTCTGCCCCACATTTTCTGTGGCCGTTTGCGGTTCAGTACGCCGCGCATCAGCTCAACCTTCAGCCCCGGGTCTCCTTGCCAGAGACCTCCCCCGCCTTGCGGTGGATCGGGAAGGTTGTCGATGCGTCTGCGTTTCGGGTCTAGGGATCTCGGGCGTTTTTCCACGACTTGTTTACGGACAAGCTGTCCCCCCGTGCTGTTCCTTGCGATTTCCCTGGCTTCCCCCATGACGCGCCTGGCTGGCAGTTTTACCACCCCACCTCGCGCCGTGTTCTGTCCTCCTAGGACGTCACCTTTGACGAGCCGGTACCTTACTACCGTCTCTTCCCCTACAGCACTGCGCCTCTCCCCCCGCCGCCGCTTTTCCTTGCACCAGGTCTTCCCCCAGTAGACCCCCTCCCCCCTCTGGGTCCTGCCCTGTCAGGTGTGTCCCAGGTAGATGCACCCGAGCCTGTCGAGGTAGTTGTTGACTCTGGTGCTGCTAGAGGTGCTGAGCCTGCGGGTGCCGGGTGTGGGGGTGCTGAGACTGGGGGTGCTGAGAGTGGGGGTGCTGAGTCTGGGGGTGCTCAGATTGGGGGTGTGGAGCCTGGGGGTGTAGAGCTTGGAGGTGCTGTGCTTGGGGGTGCTGAGCCTGGGTGCGCTGGGTCTGCTCGTGCGGCCGCCGGCGGTGTTTCGTCGACGCGGGAGCCGCTCTCTCCACAGGAGCTGCGCGAGTGGTTTGCCCGTCGCTGGGGACGTGCTGCTGAAACTGGGGGTGCTGCTGGAGCTACTGGAGTTGGTCGTGCTGGAGCTGCTGGCGGTACTGGTGCTACTAGAGCTGGAGCTAGTAGGGGTGTTGGCGCTGGTGTTTCTACTAGCGCTGGTGCGTCAGGGGGTGCTAGTGAGGCTCTTGGAGCTGCCGGTCCTACTGGAGTTAGTGCTGCTGGAGCTGGAGGTGCTGGGGGTGTTGGCGCTAGTGTATCTGCTGGTGCTGATGCTTCTGAGGGTGCTGGAGGTGGCACTGGTGGAGCTGGAGGTGCTGCTGGAGCCGGTGCTACCGCTGGGGGTACTGGTGCTGTCCTTGCTGGTTCTGGAGGTGTTGCGCGTCCGAGGCCGTACTTCGTTCCGCTCCTTGAGCAGGTTCTTGGTCTCCCTCCCTCTACTGGTCCTGCTCCTCCCTTAGAGTGTCCACCGCCTGTCCAGTCGCAATCACAGTTACAGCCCGCCTCCCCTCTATCTGCTCCTTCTCCCTACACTGGTCCTACTGGAGGTCTTGCTGAGCGTCGTGAGCCTGCGTCTCGTCCTACGTCCCCTATTCGTTCTGCTCACACTAGTGTTCGTACTGCGCGCCCGCGTCCTCCTCCGGTCCCCAGCACACACTAGATGGCACTGCGTCCTTCCACTGCCCCTCTGCGTGTCCCGTTGCCGTCTCCTCTAGAGTCCTCTCTTTCTTCTCTTGCTGAACCGGAGTCTGACTCCCTTCGTGATGCTAGTCCTTCCGTCACGCGCCTTCTTGCTACTGTTGTCACTGACCCTACCTTTGAGTCCACTGCTGCGTCTGCCCTAGTTGTTGAGCTTGTCGGCTTCGCTGCCCGCTGTCGTCTAGAGTACGCTGCTAGTCTCGTTGCTGAGTCTGAGTATGTCTGTCCTCCGTCTGTCAGGGGTGAGTGTGCTCTTAGCACGGACATCCTTGAGGACAGGCAGGAAGAGTTCCAGTGCTTTGCTGCTGCTTTGCCCCATCTCGTGTCCACGCTGATTGCCTCTGAGGAAGACCCGGATGCACCAGACATCCCGACTCCTTGATCGTACGCTGAGGAGATCGAGGGTCCCTACTCCTCTCAGTGGCAGTCGGCCATGGACGCAGAGATGGCTTCCTGGAATTCCAAAGGCACCTACGTCGACGAGGTTCCCCCACCTGGGGCGAACATCGTCACTCGCATGTGGATTTTCAGGGTGAAGCGGCCGCCAGGTTCTCCGCCTGTCTTCAAGGCGCGTTGCGTGACTCGAGGCTTCAGTCAGCGGCAGGGAATTGACTACTTTCAGACCTTCTCTCCCACCCCGAAGATGACCACTCTTTGGGTGCTGCTGCGCATAGCTGCTCAGCGTGACTACGAGCTTCACTCTCTTGACTTCAGCACAGCTTTCTTGCAGGGCAGCCTGCACGAGGAGATCTGGCTGCGCCGCCCTCCTAGCTTCATTGGGTCGTTTCCTCTTGGTACCCAGTGGAGCCTCCGACGGCCAGTCTACGGTCTCCGCCAGGCGCCCCGTGAGTGGCACGACACACTGAGGACTACACTTGCGGCTCTTGGGTTTGCTCCTTCTACAGCCGACCCGTCGCTGTTTCTGCGCACCGACACCTCTCTTCCGCCGTTCTACATCCTCGTGTACGTCGACGACTTGGTCTTTGCCACTGCTGACACCGCTGGACTCGCCCACGTGAAGTCCGAGCTGCAGAAGAGACACACGTGCACAGACCTGGGTGAACTGCGCAGCTACCTTGGCTTGCAGATCACCCGGGACAGAGCACAGCGCACCATTACCCTGACTCAGTCACACATGGTGCAACAGGTCCTTCAGCGCTTCGGCTTCACGTACTCCTCGCCTCAAGCCACTCCTCTGTCTACTCGCCACTCGCTCTCAGCTCTGCCTTCGGATGAGTCCGTAGAGCTCAGTGGCCCATACCCAGAGCTTGTTGGGTGCCTCATGTACCTGATGACCTGCACACGACCTGACCTTGCATACCCTCTCAGCATCTTGGCACGCTATGTTGCTCTTGGGAGACACCGACTAGAGCACATGGCTGCAACGAAGAGGGTGTTGCGCTACGTGTGCAGTACGTCGGGCATGGGGTTAGTGCTTGGAGGGCGACGTCGAGTGGTCCTCACAGGTCACGCTGACGCTTCTTGGGCTGACGACCAGGCTCTGCAGCGGTCGTCACAGGGTTACACCTTCAGCCTTGGCTCCGGCTCTGTTTCGTGGCGGTCTACCCGCTCGTCTTCTGTTCTTGGCTCCAGCTGTGAGGCTGAGATCTACGCAGGGGCCATGGCTGCCCAGGAGCTACACTGGCTCACCTACCTGCTGACTGACCTAGGAGAGCCGCCTCCTTCTCCTCCAGTTCTGTACGTAGACAACAAGGCCATGCTGGCCTTGTGTGGGGAGCACAGACTGGAGCACAGAATGAAGCACATTGCTCTCCGCTACTTCCTGGCTCGTGAGCTGCAGCAGCGTGGTAAGCTCCGCCTCACCTACGTGGCTTTTGAGGCCAACACTGCTGATATCTTCACCAAGGCCCTTCCGCCTTGTGATCATCAGCGCTTCTGTACTATGCTAGGTCTTGTGCCTACCTGGCCTCAGTTGCTCGCTTCTTGATCTTGTTTATACTGTACTCTTTCTATACCTGCACTTGCTTGTTTACCTTTATATATATGATCTTGAATGTGAACTGGCCTTGTGGCCTTACTCTTGTGCTCGGACTGTGTGGTGACTTTGTGATCCACCCTGAGCTTGCTTTGTTTTGCTTGTGTGGTCTTGTGACCACTTGTTCTCCCCCATTTTGCCTATGGGGGCATGTCAGAACATAGCTTATACATTTGTGTAGGCTATAGTGGGGTAGCCCATAAGGGGTACAACCCAATTATGGTTAGTACTTGTACCCAACTCTTTCATAGTTCAATCATTTCTCGTTTCTCATCAGTTGTACCCATAATCCTTTCAATGCAATCGTACGAGCTTCTAATCTTGACAATTACAATGACTTCATTGTCTTCCCTCAAAACTTGACAGACTTATCCTATCCACTGCGATCCTTCAGTCATAGCAACAATTGTCAAAGTGAAATAATCGTATCTAGTTCACAGGTCGACCGCTTTGTTGCCCCCTTTCCTTAAACTACCTAGAAGCACGAGGGTAAGATAGGAAAGTAGCCCTGATACCAAATGTTCTGAGTTGTCAAATAAGAGAGTGCGCAAAATTTCAATAACGAGACTGTGATTACAACTACTGCTCGAATAATGAAGCCTAGCAAAAATGTAGCGGAAGGCGGGGTTCTCGTGATCGGGAGGCGAGGTCGTCGAACCGAGCCTGATCTTCCAAAATTTGGGGTTGTACGCGTACGGATTGGTCGAGGAAGGAATTTGGACGTTTCCTTACACAATAATATCTTCAACCCGGGCGGTGATGATACGGTGTGTCCAGAAGGTACATTCGAATGCAGCTAAATGGTTCTTGGTATGGAGATAGATTTCTTGAATGGTTGAGGGTATTTGAGAAACGTACGTTTGGGACATGCCTTCGAACGCAATTTAGTAAAAGTTGATCCATGCTAGGAATGGTCGCGAGGCTTCTTTCAATCGAGGCTAGGTGCTGAGTGTTAGGGCAAGTGTCCGCTCCGCTTCATCGTTGCAGCACCGCATCGCCTGGAGAGTGAGCGGACAAGTGCACGAGCATTTCGAGCGACAGCGTGCTGCTGATCGCCGTGCACAGAGCGCCACCGTTTCGTCCGCCTGTCGGCGATGGCGTTCCGAGGCGTCGTCGTGCATCCCCAGCGGCCGCCGCATGGCAGGCTGATCGCCGCCAGCGCGCGCCGCACGAGGCATGGCGGCGTGGCGGAAATGGGTAGCGCAGGCGCACGAGGGCGATCGGGTAGCGCGCTATTCAGGCCGGTGCTCTTGAGATCCGCCTTTCTCGCGCGACGTGGGTTTGGGAAAGGGTGCGACGACGAGACGATTCGGCTTGACGGCTCGGCAGGCGGCTCCGTGCGGACCGGCATTGCAGGCGGCGCGACCCTTCGGGTCTCCGCCGCGGCCGAATCTACAGGTACTTGCTTTGTACTCTCTCCCCCTTCCTCCCACGTACCCCCGCCCGCCTGGTCCCCTCCGTGCTGCGCGCGCGGCTGAGGACGCCGGTGAATTCTCATCGTCCGCTCGTCGTTGCGCCCCTCCGTGCCGCCGTCCTCGCAGAGAACCGCGCGGCGCCATCTAAGCCGAGGTCCGCCCGAACCTCAGCGCCAGGCGCGCGAAGAGACCGACCCTCGGGAGGAGGCGCGGGAGGCGGAGGCGCACGGCGGGGCGGGGCGGCGGCGGTGCGCGGGCGGCGCGACGACAGCGTGCAGCGCAAGCTGGAGCGATTCCACGACGGGCCGGAGGGGCCGCCGCTGCGAGTGCTGCCCATTGGGGGGGTGGGCGAGATCGGCATGAACTGCATGCTGGTGGGCCACCGCGACCGCTACATCATGATCGACGCCGGACTCATGTTCCCCGAGTGAGTCCCGCACGCCCTGCCACATGCGCCCTGCCACATGCGCCCTTGCCACGGGTGAGGGGTTTATTAGAGGCTCTGCGATTGATTTCGCAACTCTTTTGCACACGGCTGTTTTGGAATTAACAGAGAGGCGGCTGTGAGGGGCAATGCGGGAAACCAATGGTGGCCCACTGTTGAGTGTGGTGGATGAAGGGGGCTCTGGATTCCCCTTTTCATGTACCTGTTGGGGCGCCATGCCGCATTTCATCCCATCCACTGCGCCATGACCGCTCCCCACCGCGCTGCCTCACCACCCACTGACCACATCACGCCCACTCGTGCATTCATTCTCCTTCCCCCCCCCACCAGCTACGAGGAGGTGGGCATGCAGCGCGTGCTGCCGGACACGGCGTTCATCCACCGCTGGCGCCACAAGATAGAGGCACTCATCATCACGCACGGTCACGAGGACCACATCGGCGCGCTGCCCTGGGTGAGTCACACACGAGCATAGAGCGAGCGCTGCCTTGGGTGAGATGACAGGCGCGCTGCCCTGGGTGAGATGAGTGTGCACACTGGCAGCCACGTGGTGTGAGGGGGCATTGGTGCTCGGCCTGCCATGGGTGAGAGTAGTTCGTGATAGGGGCTGCACTGCACCTGTCATCGCGGGGCCGCGGGGACTCCATACCTGCTGTCCCTCTCTCTCCTGCCGCTCCTCTTTCCACTCACCCCGCTGCTCCTCTGCTCTCACTGCCTACTCTCCCTCCCTATCTGCCATGGATGCCCACCACCAGGTGCTGCCAGCGCTGGACCCCTCAACGCCTGTCTTCGCCACCGGCTTCACCATGCAGGCAATGCCCTCCCGCCCCTCCCTCCCACCCCACCCTCCCGCCCCTCCCTCCCGCCCCACCCTCCCACCCTTCCCTCCCGCCCCACCCTCCTGCCCTGCCCTCCCTCCCTCCGTCCCTTCCTCCCTCCCTCAATCCCTCCCTCCCTCCCTCCCTCCCTCCCTATCTCCCTTCCTTACTCCCTCTTCCCTTCTCTTCCGCCCTCCTACGTGTTGTCGCTCCCACTCTCCCGGCTACTCTCTGCTGCGCCCCTTTCCCACCAACCTTCATACCCTTTCTTTCACCCTCACTCACTCTGTCTTCTCCTTGTGCTGTTTCAACTCTGAACCGTGAACCCAAAACCCTTTCTCTCCCATCCCTTCCTCCCTCCATTCAATTCACTTTGCTCCAATTCTCACTCCCAGTCTCGTCCTTTTCTCCCATTCCCTCCCCCCAGCCCCTCAGCCGTCCGCCTCCTGATTGACCATAACACGTGTGCATGATTCAACACTGTAAACACGTTTTAGGGTAGCTAAAAGCTCGCTAGGGTTAAAATCCAAAAAGCTAAACTGAAAAGCGTGTACAGTCAATTTTCTCCCTAGCATGGACTCTTTCCCCAACCCACCCCTCTACCCTCCCCCAAACCCCCCCCCCTCCCCCCTACCCCCTCCCCACTCCCCCATCCCCAATCACCCTCCCCCTTCCCTGCATCTCCCGCCTCTGTCCCCTGTCCCCTACCCCCTGCCCCGCATGTGCACGGGTGCAGCTGGTGAAGCGGCGCCTGAAGGAGCACAACCTGCCGTTTGAGAAGCGGTGTAAGGCGGTGCAGATGCGCACGCGGTTCAGAGCGGGCCCGTTTGAGGTGGAGGCGGTGCGGGTGACGCACTCCATCCCCGACTGCTGTGGCCTCGTGCTGCGCTGCGACGACGGCACCATCTTCCACACCGGCGACTGGAAGGTAACCATCTTCCACACCTGCGACTGGAAGGTAACCATCTTCCACACCGGCGACTGGAAGGTAACCATCTTCCACACCGGCGACTGGAAGGTAACCATCTTCCACACCGGCGACTGGAAGGTCAACCCCCACCCCTCCCTGCCATGCCCACACTGCCATGCCCACACTGCCATGCCCACACTGCCATGCCCACACTGCCATGCCCACACTGCCATGCCCACAGTGCCGTGCCCACACTGCCATGCCCACACTGCCATGCCCACACTGCCATGCCCACAGTGCCGTGCCCATACTGCCATGCCCACACTGCCATGCCCACAGTGTCGTGCCCACACTGCTATGCCCACACTGCCATGCCCACACTGCCATGCCCACACTGCCATGCCCACAGTGCCGTGCCCACACTGCCATGCCCACACTGCCATGCCCACACTGCCATGCCCACACCGCCATGCCCACAGTGCCATGCCCACACTGCCATGCCCACACTGCCATGCCCACACTGCCATGCCCACACTGCCATGCCCACACTGCCATGCCCACAGTGCCATGCCCACACTGCCATGCCCACACTGCCATGCCCACACTGCCATGCCCACACTGCCATGCCCACACTGTCATGCCCACACTGTCATGCCCACCCTGCCATGCCCACACTGCCATGCCCACAGTGCCGTGCCCACACTGCCATGCCCACACTGCCATGCCCACACTGCCATGCCCACACTGTCATGCCCACACTGTCATGCCCACACTGTCATGCCCACCCTGCCATGCCCACACTGCCATGCCCACACTGCCATGCCCACACTGCCATGCCCACCCTGCCATGCCCTCTCTGCCATGCCCACACTGCCATGCCCACACTGCCATGCCCACCCTGCCATGCCCTCCCTGCCATGCCCACACTGCCATGCCCACCCTGCCATGCCCACACTGCCATGCCCACACTGCCATGCCCACACTGCCATGCCCACACTGCCATGCCCACACTGTCATGCCCACACTGTCATGCCCACCCTGCCATGCCCACACTGCCATGCCCACACTGCCATGCCCACATGTCATGCCCACCCTGCCATGCCCTCCCTGCCATGCCCACACTGTCATGCCCACCCTGCCATGCCCTCCCTGCCATGCCCACACTGCCATGCCCACACTGTCATGCCCACACTGCCATGCCCACACTGCCATGCCCACACTGTCATGCCCACACTGTCATGCCCACCCTGCCATGCCCACACTGCCATGCCCACACTGCCATGCCCACATGTCATGCCCACCCTGCCATGCCCTCCCTGCCATGCCCACACTGCCATGCCCACCCTGCCATGCCCTCCCTGCCATGCCCACACTGCCATGCCCACACTGCCATGCCCACACTGCCATGCCCACACTGTCATGCCCACACTGTCATGCCCACACTGTCATGCCCACCCTGCCATGCCCTCCCTGCCATGCCCACACTGTCATGCCCACCCTGCCATGCCCTCCCTGCCATGCCCACACTGCCATGCCCACACTGTCATGCCCACACTGCCATGCCCACACTGTCATGCCCACACTGTCATGCCCACCCTGCCATGCCCACACTGCCATGCCCACACTGCCATGCCCACACTGCCATGCCCACACTGTCATGCCCACACTGTCATGCCCACACTGTCATGCCCACCCTGCCATGCCCACACTGCCATGCCCACACTGCCATGCCCACATGTCATGCCCACCCTGCCATGCCCACACTGCCATGCCCACACTGCCATGCCCACCCTGCCATGCCCACACTGTCATGCCCACCCTGCCATGCCCACACTGCCATGCCCACAGTGCCGTGCCCACACTGCCATGCCCACACTGCCATGCCCACACTGCCATGCCCACACTGCCATGCCCACACTGTCATGCCCACACTGTCATGCCCACACTGTCATGCCCACCCTGCCATGCCCACACTGCCATGCCCACACTGCCATGCCCACACTGTCATGCCCACCCTGCCATGCCCTCCCTGCCATGCCCACACTGTCATGCCCACCCTGCCATGCCCTCCCTGCCATGCCCACACTGCCATGCCCACACTGCCATGCCCACACTGTCATGCCCACACTGCCATGCCCATACTGTCATGCCCACACTGTCATGCCCACACTGCCATGCCCACACTGCCATGCCCACACTGTCATGCCCACACTGCCATGCCCACACTGTCATGCCCACACTGCCATGCCCACACTGTCATGCCCACCCTGCCATGCCCTCCCTGCCATGCCCACACTGTCATGCCCACCCTGCCATGCCCTCCCTGCCATGCCCACACTGCCATGCCCACACTGTCATGCCCACACTGCCATGCCCACACTGCCATGCCCACACTGTCATGCCCACACTGTCATGCCCACCCTGCCATGCCCACACTGCCATGCCCACACTGCCATGCCCACATGTCATGCCCACCCTGCCATGCCCTCCCTGCCATGCCCACACTGCCATGCCCACACTGCCATGCCCATACTGTCATGCCCACACTGTCATGCTCACACTGTCATGCCCACACTGTCATGCCCACACTTTCATGCCCACGCTGTCATGCCCACCCTGCCATGCCCTCCCTGCCATGCCCTCCCTGCCCTGCCCACACTGCCATGCCCGCCACTGCCATGGCGCGGGGGGGAATATGTGGTGCTGCTGATTGGGCGACATGGAATTAAACATTTCTTGTGCATCAATGCCCCCCCAGTCAGTTACATCCTTGGATTCATCCTGATTCAGAACTTCGTTGCTACATCCTCCTCTCGTTTCTTCCATGTTCCATGCTGCTTGTCTGTGTGCCGCACTGTGCCCATCACCATCACCATCACCATCACCATCACCATCACCATCACCACCATCACCACCACCACCACCACCACCACCACCACCACCACCACCACCACCACCACCACCACCACCACCACCACCACCACCACCACCACCACCACACCACCACCACCACCACCACCACCACCACCACCACCACCACCACCACCACCACCACACCACCACCACCACCACCACCACCACCACCACCACCACCACCACCACCACCACCACCACCACCACCACCACCACCACCACCACCACCACCATCACCATCACCACCACCATCACCACCACCATCACCATCACCATCACCACCATCAGATCGATGAGAATCCGCTGGACGGCCGCCAGTTTGACCGCGAGTTCCTCGAGGGCTTGTCCAAAGAGGGGGTCACTCTGGTGAGAGGCCAGGGGGAGGGAAGGGGGTCACTCTTGTACAGGCGAAGGAAACTCCAGTTGCACAGTTGTGCGATCAATACCAAGAATATCACGTCGCACATTCCTTGCCATATGCCCGTCCACTTCCACTGTTGCTCACTCACCGCACATTCCCTCCCACTACCTTCCTGCACACACCCCCCCACCCCACCCCCTGCCTGTGAGGCAGATGATGAGTGACAGCACCAACAGCCTGGCGCCGGGGCGCACCACGTCGGAGAGCAGTGTGGCGGCGGCGCTGATGGAGGCGGTGCTGGCGGCCAAGGGCCGGGTCATCACCACACAGTTCGCCTCCAACGTGCACCGCCTCGGCGCCGTCAAGGCTGCCGCTGACGCTGCCGGCCGCCGCCTCGTGAGCTCTGCTCGCCTCTGCGCTGCTCGCCTCTGCTTTTCTCTCCCTTGGCTGTGTGCTTGAGCAGCAGGGGTCGAGGGGCATCCGGGATGGTGGCTGTGCATGGGGGAAGGGACGGGGAGTCTAAGTAGGGGCGGGGAGTCTAAGTAGGGGCGGGGAGTCTAAGTAGGGGCGGGGAGTCTAAGTAGGGGCAGGGAGTCTAAGTAGGGGCGGGGAGTCTAAGTTGGGACGGGGAGTCTAAGTAGGGACGGGGAGTCTAAGTAGGGACGGGAGTCTAAGTAGGGACGGGGAGTCTAAGTAGGGGACGGGAGTCTAAGTAGGGACGGGGAGTCTAAGTAGGGACGGGGAGTCTAAGTAGGGACGGGGAGTCTAAGTAGGGACGGGGAGTCTAAGTAGGGACGGGGAGTCTAAGTAGGGACGGGGAGTCTAAGTAGGGACAGGGAGTTTAAGTAGGGACAGGGAGTCGAAGTAGGGACAGGGAGTTTAATTAGGGACAGGGAGTCTAAGTCGGGACGGGGGAGATGGGGATGTGTCTTGAACGCGCCTCTTGCGCTACCTGCAATAACTCCCTGCCGCCCTTTTCCCACCCTTGTTGCCCCGTCAGGTGTTTCTGGGCATGTCGCTGCGCACATACCTCGATGCTGCCTTCCGTGACGGCCAGGCGCCCTTCGACCCCTCCGTCCTGGTATGCTCCACTCATGCACCCCATTCCTTTCCCCATGCCTTCATTCATCCATCGCCTCCTTCTCTGTACCTCAAGCTGACCCCCGCATACCTACCTGCTTCCACGTCACGCATTCACTTCCCGTGTCCTCATGTGTACGTGGTGGGTGTGCATGCGTGCATGCATGTGGGCGTGCATGTGCACAGCTCAAGGCGGAGGACATGAGTGCCTTCTCCCCACGCGACCTGCTCATCGTCACCACAGGCTCCCAGGTACATGCAAGTGACATGCCATGCCATGCCATGCCAGCCTGTTTGTGTTCTCAAGAGCAGCAACACTTCATGCCAAGGATGCTCACCATGCGAGCATGAGAGCACGAGTGCGCTGCTCCTACCGTTCTCTTGTTCTCAGCCACGCTCTTCAACTTCCACCCGTGAACTCGTTGCACCCCTGTGTGGCACCTATGTGTGTGTGTGGCACCTATGTGTGTGTGTGGTGCTGGCAGGGAGAGCCACGCGCGGCGTTGAACCTGGCGTCGTACGGGACGAGCAAGATGCTGCAGCTCAACGCCGACGACACCGTGCTCTACTCCGCCAAGGTCACTCTTTGCTTCCTCTCACTTCTGGCCTTGGAACTAGACATGTGCAAGAATTTGCAATGTGGTTCCGTGCGGGTCTTTTTCACATCGAACCGAATCTCAGCCCTTTTTAGTCCACCTGTTCAAAACTATCGCTTCCCATTGCCACGTCAAACCAAACTGGTTCGGTGGCGATGTCTAATTGGAACTCGTGTACTTTTGTATCGGTGAATGCACAACCAAAAGATCAAGCACCCAACCTGGACCAACCATAATACGTGATTGGAAAGTACATTTGACAAACCCCCATTGATCAATCTATCCAAATTACCTCCTCCTCCTCCTCCTCCTCCTCCTCCTCCTCCTCCTCCTCCTCCTCCTCCTCCTCCTCCTCCTCCTCCTCCTCCTCCTCCTCCTCCTCCTCCTCCTCCTCCTCCTCCTACCCCCCTTCCCTGCTCTCCTCCACCCACCAACCTCCCGACGGCAGATGATCCCGGGGAACGAGACGAGGGTGGTGAAGATGATGAACCGCATCGCGCTGCAGGGGCCGCGCATCCTGCAGGGGCGGCAGCACGGGCTGCACACGTCGGGGCACGCGTACAGCGAGGAGCAGCAGGAGGTGATTCGGCTGGTGAAGCCGCAGCACTTCCTGCCGGTGCACGGCGAGTACGCGTTCATGAAGGAGCACGAGCTGCTCGCCCAGCGCCAGGGCATCCGCCACACCACGGTGCGCCCAGCCTGGTTGGGTTGCGTTCGTGCAGGGGTGTGCAGGGGAATGCAGTGGGTGCCAGAGTTACACCCCACTGCTCCTTCAAACGTGATCGTGGCATGTGGTCTGCATGGTGGCATGTGGTCTGCATGGTGGCATGTGGTCTGCATGGTGGCATGTGGTCTGCATGGTGGCATGTGGTCTGCATGGTGGCATGTGGTCTGCATGGTGGCATGTGGTCTGCATGGTGGCATGTGGTCTGCATGGTGGCATGTGGTCTGCATGGTGGCATGTGGTCTGCATGGTGGCATGTGGTCTGCATGGTAGCATGTGGTCTGCATGTTGGCATGTGGTCTGCATGGTGGCATGTGGTCTGCATGGTGGCATGTGGTCTGCATGGTGGCATGTGGTCTGCATGGTGGCATGTGGTCTGCATGGTGGCATGTGGTCTGCATGGTGGCATGTGGTCTGCATGGTGGCATGTGGTCTGCATGGTAGCATGTGGTCTGCATGGTAGCATGTGGTCTGCATGGTGGCATGTGGTCTGCATGGTGGCATGTGGTCTGCATGGTGGCATGTGGTCTGCATGGTGGCATGTGGTCTGCATGGTAGCATGTGGTCTGCATGGTGGCATGTGGTCTGCATGGTAGCATGTGGTCTGCATGGTGGCATGTGGGAGAGCCCGCATGCGCTCAGTAGGGCAACGCAGGATGCCCCAGTGCAGTGTGGGCTGTCAGTTGAGCATAGTTCTGCCTCCTTGCTGCCACCTGCTTCTAATACCTCCTCACCCTTTCCCCTACCTCGTCCCTGCGTGTTGTCTCCCTGCCCTCATCAGGTGATCAGCAACGGGGAGATGGTGGGAGTGGCGCCTCTGCGCAACGCCAAGGTGGTGTCCAACGGCTTCTACCACCAACCGCGCATCCACCTCGAGGTGAGGCTTCTACCACCAACCGCGCATGCACCTCGAGGTGAGGCTTCTACCACCAACCGCGCATCCACCTCGAGGTGAGGCTTCTACCACCAACCGCGCATCCACCTCGAGGTGAGGCTTCTACCACCAACCACGCATCCACCTCGAGGTGAGGCTTCTACCACCAACCACGCATCCACCTCGAGGTGAGGCTTCTACCACCAACCGCGCATCCACCTCGAGGTGAGGCTTCTACCACCAACCGCGCATCCACCTCGAGGTGAGGCTTCTACCACCAACCGCGCATCCACCTCGAGGTGATAGCCCCTGCACGTGAGGGTGATGAAGCGTTGCATGGCCCTTTTTGGTGATGGTGCACGCACTGCCTTGACACTCCACTCTCTCATGCACTCTCATGGACACCTCCCTGGCGCAGCTGCCAGCAGTTACTGCCACACAATGCACACTACCACTTGCCCCGTGCACTCCACGTGCCATCACCAGATGCCAGGCCTTGTGCTCGTGTCTCCCCTCCACCAGACCATGTACAACGACGGAGGCATAGCGTTTGGCAACGCGCGCGAGATGGCGGTGGGGGAGCGGCTGCACGTGGCCACCGAGGGCATCGTCATCGCCACGTGAGCATGCTTAGTCAGCAGGGTCTGCTGCGTGAAAGACATTCATTGCCTTGTGTCGGTCCACCAGCTTCCACACCCCTCATGAGGTGAGCAGCACACCCTCATGAGGTCAGCAGCAGCCCACCCTCATGAGGTCAGCAGCACCCCACCCTCATGAGGTCAGCAGCACCCCACCCTCATGAGGTCAGCAGCACCCCACCCTCATGAGGTCAGCAGCACCCCACCCTCATGAGGTCAGCAGCACCCCACCCTCCTGCCGCTCCTCGTCTCCTGTCTCGCCTCCTCCCCCTCCTTGTCCAATGCGTTCCCCTTTGCCCCCTCCCTCAGTGTGGAGGTGTTTCGCGAGCCGCCAGGAGAGGAGGTGCTGGAGGCGTTCACAGACGCCGATGAGGACGACGAGGGCGACGGCGCCCCACGCGGGCTGCACGGGCGGCTGCAGATCCGAACGCGGTGCCTGTGGGTGGACCGCGGCAAGCTCACAGACATGATGCACAGCGCTGGCATGGCGGCGCTCAACCGCCTCTCCAGGTGATCTCTCGCGGGCACTGCTCCTTTCACTCGCTCCTTTCACTGTCAACCAGCATAATCTCATCCCTCTCTAAGCATTACTCTCTATCCTTGACCTCTCAACTTTCTTTTTTTCCTGAACCCCACTTCTTTTCCTACTGCAATCGTAATCAACCCTCCATATTACCTCCCTCCCTCCTCCCCCGTCTCTCCTTTGCATGACACAGGGATGCATCCTTGGCGCTGGTGGAGCGCAGCATCTCGCAGGTGCTGCGCAAGACGGTGCAGCGCCACAGCAGCCGCCGCCCCGAGGTCATCGTCACGGCCGTCGACAGCTTCCAGCCGCCCGTGCCGCCGCCGCCCTCGCCCGCCCCTCCCTCCACCCTCTCCGCCGACCTCTCCTCATTCTCCCCGCGCGTCGCCAAGGTTGGTGCGGCGGCAGAGGAGCAGCAGCCGGGCGGGCAGGAGCAGCGGAGGCGGCAGCGGCGCGAGCAGCAGGAGAGGGAGCTGCGGGAGATGCTGGCGAGAGACGAGAAGGACGAGGACGCCTTCGGCCCCACCCTGCAGGGGACGGCGGGCGGGCGGGGTGTGCGGAAGGGCGGGAGGCGAGGGCGGGTGGGAGGTGAGAGCACGGAGAGTGACTTGAGTGAGGGCGGGTACAGCAGCAGCAGCAGCGACGAGGAGCGTGACAGGCCAGGTGTTGATGCTGCCAGTGTGCCTGCTGCTGCTTCTGCTGCTGCTTCAGGCAGCGATGGCAGTGGCTCGCCAGGGGGGTGGAGGGACATGGGCTCTGGCAGTGTGACAGCTGTGGTGGTGAGCGGTGCAGAGGAGGGGCAGCAGAGGGGGGATGAGGCGGCAGGGCAGGGCAAGTCTAGCAAGACACGGAGAGGCAGGCGTCGCTCGGCTGCTAGTGGCAGCATAGGTGACGGCAGCACGGGTGGTGCAGAAGAGGGAGAGGGGAAGGCAGGTGGTGCTAGTGTGCAGGGAGCGGGTGAAGCGGGAGCAGGTGGGGCAGAGGGAGCAGCGAGTGGCGGGGAGCAAAGCCGCAAGGGGCTCAGTGTGAGGGTAGAGGCCGAGGGAGACGGGGAGGGGGAGGCAGGCAGAAATGTGGAGGGGGCGGGCAGTGGTGGAGAGGCCGGCATGGATGGCAGTGTGGAGAGCCATTCGGGAGACACACGAGAGGACGTGGGCGATGAGCCCCCATTGGGGTCATCTCACTAGCAGCACCGTGTGGGTGGCGGAGCAGTGTGATCATTTTTCCTGTGTTCGTGCATCCTTTCACTCTGCGTGGGAGGCCTGAAATTATTTGAGTATTACAGCACTAAGTATGGTTGGTCTGAGCTAGTTTTTTTATTATTTGAAACATGAAGTTTCATTTTTCAAACATTATTCAAACTAATCTACTGACCCTAATCCCCTAGAAATAGGACCCGGGTCTCAAGAGTGATGCATAGCGGATGTTGGGCTGAGTGCCCCTTAGGATCTTTGGTAGGGTTAATCTCTGGGTAGAGTGATGTAGTAGCGGAAGCGTTAACAAAGAGATTCTGAACCACCTTGCGCTAGTATGTGAGGGCAAAGTAAGTTGATTAAAACAAGCAAGTACAAAGGTTTATATAAGAGTACAAAGAATACGAAGAGATATAATTAAATTGTTTTGTTGTTGCGGTTCGATACAGTGCGACTCGGGCAACTGCTCAATGTCGAGTCAGTTGTGTGTCCTTGCTGTCGCGCTGTACTTGTCAGGTCAAAGGTCGCTGACCTTTGACTTTCGAGTAACCTCCAGCGGTTACTTCAACCTCCGAGGGTTGACTCGCCGGTGCTTCGGTATGCTTCGCTTCGCTTGTGCCTTAGTGTTTCGACACGACAGAGGCGCTTAGGACCGATTGTTTCCAACACTCCCCTTCGATTCTGGAGTGTCGCTGACGTGGCTCTGTCCAGTCAGCAGCATGCAATATTCGAATTTCTGCTTTCCGAGCTTCTTGGTCAGGTAGTCAGCTGCCATTTCGGACGTGGGGCAGTATGACAGCTCGAGCCTTCCCTTCTCGATCTCGTCCTTCACGAAGAAGTATAGCAGGGCGATGTGTTTCGTCCTGTTCGCAAAACCGTTCTTGTTGGCGATGCGAATTGCCGACTGGTTGTCGCAGAACATGGTAAAGTTGGGTAACTCGGCTAACTTCGCTTCTTCCAGCAGCTCACGAAGATAGAGTCCTTCCTTGGTGGCTGAGCAGAGTGCAATATATTCTGCTTCAGCTGACGAGAGAGCAATTAGTTCCTGCTTGCTCGATTGCCAGGAGATACGCCCGATAGGCTCGAAGCGATAGATGTAGCCGGTGCGTGATCGTCTGTTGTCGGAGTCGCCCGCGTGATCTGCGTCGACGTAACCAATTAGCTTAGGTGGCGTGGTCGCGTTCTTGTGATATGTTAAGCCGATCGTTGGCGTACTGACGAGATAGTGTAGAGCACGGTCGAGTTCGGCCATGTGTTTTGCTTCAGGCCTCTTGAGATGAGTGGCGAGCTGGCTTGCGGAGTATGAGAGGTCGGGGCGGCAGGTAACAGCTGCGAAGAGAAGGCATCCTAGCTTTCTCTGGTAGTCGCGTATCCCGGCGGATTTGAGTAGAGTAGATCCTTCCTTGTGGTTTCCTGTCGCGTAGCGGTAGGGCGTAGAGATGGTGGTAGGCGTGAGCGCGAAGCGTTTGGCGATGGTGTCGGCGTACTTAGCGGCTTTGAGGTAGATCGCGTCCTCTTCCTCTCGAATGTTCAAGCCGAGGTACTGTGTGACGGTAGAGGAGACCGTGAGTGTGAGGTCCCTCTGTAACTCCCCTTCGAACCAGGTGGTGATGTCGTCAGTTGAGCCGATGTAAAGTAGGTCATCTACGTAGACGATCAGCAGGATGTAGTTGGTACCCTTCGTGAGTCGGTACATTCCTTGGTAGTGAGGTAGTTGGCGGAATCCGATGCGAATGAGGCGAGCGTGTAGGTACTGTTGCCACAGCCGCGGGGCTTGTTTGATTCCGTAGAGCGATTTCAGTAGCTGGCAAACCTGGTTGGGCTCCCCGTTGGTACCGTGTGGGAGCTCGACGAAGATTTCTGCGTCGACGGGTGCGTAGAGGAATGCGTTAGTGACGTCGATTTGCCGCAGCTTCTTCTTCTTCATGGCGGCGATCGCGAGGAGGATTCGAAGGGAGGTGTGTCGGCTAACCGGGGCGAATGTCTCAGTGAAGTCCCGTCCGTACTCCTGATCGAATCCACGCACAACCCAGCGTGCTTTGAACTTCTCAATTGTGCCGTCTGCTTTTGTTTTAACGCGGAAGACCCATTTCCCGGTGAGAATGGTCTTGTTCCTTGCCACGTTGATGGGGACAACTTTCCAGGTGTTCCGTTCCTCCAGCGCCTTTAACTCTCTGTCCATGGCTTCACGCCATTTTTCCCTGTGTTCCCCCTCCAGAGCCTGCTGAACCGTCGCAGGCTCCTTAGGAAGGGTACTGCCGTGGACTGCGGTGACGAGGCCGAGTATCTGTAGTCCAGTCTGCGAGTAGCGGGGAAGAGTTGCATCCTCGGGATAAGCTGCTTCATCTCCCGCTTCTAGATCAGGTATGAAATTCGGTCCTACTCGTTGTGCTTCGTTGGTGTTGACTGTCGCAGGTGTTACGTAACCGTTGTCGGCGAAGTAGTAGAAGGTTTCGGCGTTGACACTTTCGCGAGGGTTGTCTTCGTCCATGGGAACGTCGACGGAGCAGAACGGGAGAGGTCCGGCTTCTTCTGACGCGTTGTCCACATTCTACTCATCCCAATCAGCTTCGTCTTCTGCGGAGGCGAAGGCTCGGTCGCCACGAAAACCACCTGTGGGATCTTGGTCCTCTTGCAGGTTGGCAAGGTATGTCTGGAGTGTGAGTCGTTCGTAGAAAATGACGTCACGTGCTGCTACTGTTTCCTTGGAGTGGACGTCGAAGATTTTCCACGCGTTGTAATTCTTTTCGATGCCGAAGTGTAGTCCCCACTGTGCGCGTTGTGAAAATCGGCCCGCTCGTGCTGCTGGAGGTCGATACTGTACCATGCATCCGAACACTCGTAACATTTTTGTGCTGCCCTGTTTCCCTGTCCACAGCAGATGCGGTGATGCGTTGTTCGGAAGCGATGATGACGACAGCAAGTTGTGCAGCATGACAGCGTGGTCCATTGCTGCAGGCCACTGGTGGTTGGTTAGCCGCATGCCACGTAACAGTTTGCGCATGCTGTTCTGCAGAGTCCTGTTCATTCTTTCTGCTACACCTTGTTGCTGATGGGCGTAGGGAAGAGAGAGGAGCTGCTTGATCCCCCTTTCCGCCAGGTACTGCTTGAATCGCTGAGAGGTGTATTCTCCTCCTCTGTCTGACTGGAAGCTTTTTAGCTTTACGCCCGACTCTCTCTCTGCTACTGGTAGCCAAGCAGCGAATGCTTCGAGGACCATGCTGCGGCTGGGTAGGTTTAGGTGCCAGACGTAACGGGTGGCGGCGTCGATGAAGGTGATTGTGTAGTTGTAGATTACTTGTCCTGGTTCCCGATTGTACAGGATGTCGCTATACACCTTTTCGAGTGGTGCGTACGCGGGTGCGCTCGGGTTGTGACGAGGAGCGAACGGTCGATGTGGTAAGTCGGCTTCGGGGCAAGTAAGGCATGTTCCTCGTGCCCGTTGGAGTTCTCTGCCGTCGAGTAGTAGTAACGAGTCCTTGTCAAGGAGTCCTGCTCTTATTGTGTTGTTTAACACAGTGTTGCTTGGGTGTCCCATCCTTGCGTGCCAGGTGCTTTTGTCGGCGCGATGTCCGGGTGATCGTCGGTACATATCGGAGTTGGAATAGAAGCTGGTGGTGAAGTTTGCGCTACGATGAACATCTCGTGGTGCTGGGTGGAGCTGTTGTGCTGGTGTTGGTGGTGTTTCGTCAACGAGGACTGGTGTCGTTGTTGCTGCTACTGTTGATGACGTCTCTGCTGCTGTCGATGATGTCTCTGCTGCTGTCGATGATGTCTCTGCTGCTGCCGATGTTGTCTCTGTTGCTGCCGAATGTTGTATTGTTACTAACGCGCGTGTTCGTTCTGCTTCAGGAATGGTATGTGAATACCAAAAACCTTTCGGGCTGAAGTCTGGATCAAGGTCTGGAGGATGTGTCCAGTTGGTGAAGTTCACGATGGCGTCACTGTCTGCGGTGCCCAGGTCTGGGACGAAGTCGAGGACGAAGACATTGTTCTTCAGGACCGCCTTTCCGATGTAGATGCCGCCCTTCCCATGGTAAAACTTGAACTCCTGGGTGGTGCTGTCGGCTTGCAGGTGTATGCCTTTCGTCATCAACTGACTGACGCTCAGTAAGTTGTAGCTGAGTCCCTCCGCGATTAGTACTTTTGACATCTGCAGTATAACATTTGTCTCTCGTGACTGAAGTTGCACTACTCCTTGTCGTCGTGTGCGCAGGTTCTGGTTGTTGGCGACTGTGATGACGACCTCTCGTTGAAGTTGGTGCTCGCGTTGGACGAAGCGTCCCGAGGAGCACATGCGCTGTCCGCAGCAACTGTCCAAGAACCATGTGTCTTTCCCAGACGGTTCGCTTTGAGCGATGGCGGCGTACGTCGGGTTCGGTTGAAGTGACTCGCGGCGAGGCGTGCTGTTGTCGAGTTGTTCTTCCGGTGAGTAATATGGTGGTGACTCAGTTACGCAGGAGTCGCTCAGCCTTGCCATGTAGCTGATGATGTTTCTTGTTTCTTTCGCAGGTTGTCCCGCCGATGTTGTTGAGACTTGTACCGAAGTTGTCGGATTTGCTTGCGTTGAGGCGACTTGACTGCTTGAAGGGCGAAGTTGGCGTTGCGGCGTCGTTGACTGTTGTCGATTCGGGCAGTGCGTACGAGGATGCCCTAAAGTCTTGCAGAGGTGGCAGAACGGAGGTACGATTTTCGGTCGACTGTTGTTGTTGTTGTGGCGCCGTTGAGTGTGAAACGCGAATTCGGGTACTGATACCTTTCTCTTGTGCCGTTCTTCTTGCAGGTCCATGTCTTGCTGCTCAGCATGGATTTCGGCGCAGAGTGCTGCTTCGGAGATTCTCCCGTGTGCTCGTAGTATGGCGCGAGTGGAGCGCCAGTGTGGACCAAGACCGCTGATGACAACCGTGACGAGGGCGTCTTCTGAAATCGATCCTCCACATCGAAGAAGCTTGTCGCGCAGCTCGCGACAGCGACTGATATACGCCATTCCCTTC